TGCATTCTTTGATGGTTATTAATGTTGAGCATCTTTTTATGTGTTTATCGTCAATTTCTATGTCTAGATCTTCCTCTGGTTTAAAAACATCTGAAAAAGTCTATTTATTATGAATTTACACCTTGACAAAGCCATTATAATGAGATATGCTTATATACAAATTTTAAGGGAATATTTGTTTCTTCCGTAAGTCAGATGCGCTACACAGAGACCACGCCCTTCTGCTAACTTGTAGACGTTTTCCTCTTCCTGGTTTCGGAATTCCCTGCACCAGTTCTAATCTAGCGCTCAGCGATCGAGCTCCCATAACCTCTTTTCCCTGTCACACAGCTCATTTTCTTTCTTTTAAACCACATGAGTAAATATATGAGAACAAACAAAAAATCTATGAAGATTTCCATGAATTAGTAAATTTGAAGTTTTTAGAACACCAAAACAAGAGTTCTCAAACTTTAGTCAGCCTAGGAGTCATCTGGAGCCATTTGCTAAAATTCAAATTCCTAGGTCCCACACTAAAGAAATTCTTAATAGACTTGGAGTGTGGCCCAGGAGCCGAAAGGTTTACCAGAGAGCCTAGGTGAGTCTGATACAGGCCTTCTGTGGATCACACTTTGAGAAACACTGCAGACCTTTGCCTGCGATAAGTATATGTTGCCTTCTGTTCTCATTCAAGTAACTTGTAACTATTTTTTTCAAAGTGAGGTGGACAAACCCCAAGAGACTGGGCAAAGCAACCCACTGCGGTAGGAATAGGATATTAGAATTATCTATTTATATTTAAAAAACGTGCTTTATCAATGTGCAATAAAAGATAGATACTTGGCATGCGATAGAGAAAGAAAGAGAGAGACGGGGGAATGAGAATCAGAAAATAGACACCAGTATTAAAATTTCTGGAAGTCAAAGGAAAGATAATTAAATGGTGAATGATTTAGCAGACCAGACATGTCAAAACTTAAGCTGGCAGAGTAAACTTGCTTCCTATTGCAGAACCCCCAGAAAGGCTCAGAAATTTGAGCCATCAGTTACCTTTAACAGGTGTCCCTGACAACAGGTTGACCGTTTCTATAAAAAAGCAGTTAAACCCCCAAACCCTTCCTCAAACCCTTCCCCAACACCAAGCATTCAAGGCACCAAGATTTCTCCCATCAGAATGGAAGACAGGAGATTTGCTCTGCAGAGAGGCTAAACCAGAGGAACTCTGGAGTCAGAAGCACCAGGCAGATTGGAGTGTGAGGCTGTCTTACTAAAGAGAGGGAAATTAAATGAAAATCTATATACTGAAAGTGCAACAATTAGCCCCCTTCTCCACTTGGCTACTAACTCTCAAATTGGCAGTTTTTATGTGGTGAAACTAATCAGCCCTAGAGGAAAGATCTGCAGACACTGACAATTAGGGACCTTCCCCAGCCTCCAAGAAAAGGCCTAGTCTTTAAAGCACTCTCTAATGAAATCCAACCTTCCATGGGCACACCTGTGCTCAAGACCTTTTCAATCAGCTTTTAGCTCTTCACTTTAAATATTGATGCAGGATTAGCTCATCTTTAAGAAAAACCCTGTAACAGGAAAGACCAAAAACAAACACTCAAAGGAAACAAGCAAGTACTTAGAAAAAACAGAGATAGCCCAGGAAACAGAAGTAAAAAAAAAAAAAAAAAAAAATTCATTGGACTGGAAGGTAAAGATACGGAAATCTCCCAGATAAGAAAATTAAGAATTCAGTTCAGAAGATGCAACAAATTAAAGTAGGAGTTCCATAAAATTAGAACAGAAAAAGAAAAAGTGAAAAATTGCCCCCAAAAATTCAACAAAATGACTTAGAAGTATGAGGCCTTTAGTCTGAGTATCGAGCATATCTTAGAAAAATTTCTGAACTCTGAGAATAAAGAGATGATTTTAAATGTTTTCAGAGAAGAAATATTAAAAGCAGGTCTTCTACCAAAGATAAGGAATCAATATGGAACTAGACTTCTCAACAGCAACACTGGAAACAAGCAAGAAGCAATGGGACAGTATCTGTAATATTTAGAGGACAGAATCATTTCCCCAAATCTCAAAAAATTTATCTCCCGTGTTTTCTTTCTTAAAAAGCCACTGGAATATGTGCATGATAAAGTAAATGACAGAGGAAGACTAGGGAACTAAGAGAAAAGGATCCAACAGAGGAGGGGAGAAAGAGAATCAACCCCCAGGCTAATAGGAAAGGGAAATCCCAGGCCAGAGGCCAGAGGAACAAACAATTCAAACTGGACCAAGAGGGCAGGTCTTTTTCACCTTTTCATTCATTTCATTATCTTTCTCATTGTTTTCCTTCACCATTGTAATCACATGCTATTAGTGATAGTACATAGGAAATGATGCAGAAAACAAATATATATATAATATATATATATAATTATTAACTGCTGAGAAAAAATAAATATTTTTTGTAAAAGAGATGCTATTCTGGAAAATACAAAAATCCACACAGCTTAATAACACTTCTTTGACAATGATTCTAAGAGATAACTGAGGAAAAACATAACTAATCCACCGCAATGCTAACCGTAAAAGTTATGTATCTAAAACAGATATTTTCAGTTTCCATTTACTTTACTTCTTGTGCCCACAAATTTTTCTTAATACCTTGTTCAACCCACAGATAGATCTGTTTAGCATATACCCCATAGTAGCAGGTGATATATGATTACTCAAACTATATCAACTAACTCTAAGACCATCTGATTCAAGTTTCAAAGCAATGGCCCATGGTTCTGGTATTCCAAGTGTAGTAAATAAATCATGTCACTTTGGCCCTCATTGCAAACTTCTTACTTACTGAACCTCCTAAAACAAATGGATTTCTTTTTGATTTTGCATTTATGACTGAAATAGTCATTTCCCCTTGGCTTCGTTCTGAGCTCAGAGGGGACTATAATACTTTAACTACCTTATTTTACCAACCAGCTTCAATAATTCTCTTCTTATCCCACTGTAATAACTTTCCCTGTAGTAGAGTCCTTCACATTCTACTTCCTTTTGATATTAGTTACATAAAAAGTCTAAGTAACCTAAATTACTTTTTAAAACCTTTAGTAATCTAAAAATAGCTATTACTCCCAACATTCCTAATCATAAAAGAGAAAATGATTTGTATTTCTCCTATGAGTATGCCACCTTTGTGTATCTACTACTAATTTGGTATTAAATCTATAAACAGGACATTATCCTGTGATTATCAACAAAGTTTTCAAAATTTAAATTATTTACCAAATAATTAGCTAGCCTTAATTTTTTCCCTTCAAATGTCCCATGACATCCAAGTCCAACATTGTGTTGCCTCTTCTCCTTTACCTCATTCTTAAAAGTGATAATTAAGCAAATACTTACAAATACAGTTATTACTGAATCATTCCCTGAGTTTTATAAACTGTAAAATTTCTTTAAATTCTACAAATTGTAAGAAGAAAAAAATTAGCTGAAGAGTTTCTTGATCATCCAGTTTTAAATAAATTGCTTTCTATAGCCAAAAAGCAAAATAGCAGTGACATTTTTATTTACACTCAACCTTTCATCTAAGAACATGTAATCTGTGACTATTACCCCAATTTTACCACCAAGGCATAGAATTACAGAGACTGAACTGAAGTGAACTCAAGAGGTTATCTAATCTAGCTTTCTGTCTCCAAGAATGACTGCATTTTAACAATCCAAGAGATATGTCTATCTTCTCTATTTTTCAAAATCTCCAGGGAAGATGTTACAACTTGCCTTAGCAATTTGCTCTGGTGTGTAACATGCCTTGTTTTACTCATAATACAAATCTGCAGATAAAAAGGAAATAAAAGCTGGTTTCCCGGCTTCTCAGTAAACACTCTTACCCAGGTGTGGTTATAACACACCACAAAAATAAGTAAATGAGGAAAAAAGATATTTAATAACAAAAATTGCCAACATCTAGTCAACTAATCACCTGTTTCAGCAATAATTATTGTATAAAATAATCTGGTATAACAAAATGATTTATACTTATCTTGATTTCATAATAAATATTTCCCATTAGTAAGAAAAGTAAATTCTAACTATTAGATGTATACTTATAAGTACTAAATTTAAGAATGATAAATATTTATTGGGAACTCTCTGAGTATCAGGCATTGTAGTCTATGAATAATATCGCACTGAATCCTCATATCAATTCTATGAGATGGGCATTATTGTTATCCCAGTTTTTTGGTGAAGAAATTGAGGCTCAGAGAAGGTAAATTGTCCAAGGTCTCATAGATGATGAATGATGAAGTCAGGATTAAAACCTCAATAGTTTGGTTATATTTTAATCTCTAATAAATATTTAATAAATATTAGTATTACTACTAGGCTGCTTTAAGGTTGGTTCAAAAATCCTTAACTGTAAAAAAAGTTTTTTTTCAAATTCTCATTAGTTCCTCCCTTTCTTAATATTAAAGATGATCTGAAAGATAACAGCACCTTCTAAAAAACATGCACTTATGTAACAAGTAATACCTTAAAATTTGTTTTCTAAAGTTTGATCATTAGATCTGTCTTAGGCCCATCAGATTTGCTTTTAAAAATATAAATATATACTTTAACTGAATCTTAGTAATTTTGGACTTTAATTATTCTTTCAAGAAACAGGGGTGCTTCTAAGTCTTACTTGCAGATTTGAGTTTTGAAGCTAGGTTAGATTGGCTTCAATGTAAATATTCTATGAAATATTGTAACCAACTAGAATGTTTCAAGAAATGTAAACATAGCTTTTACAAGGTAAATAACCAACTATGTTAGCCAAATAATTTCCTGAAATGTTATTGCTTTATAAGGTAACATATTATAATTACAATAAGTATACTTCTAAATAGCTGAACTTCTGTGTTCTATATAATGCCTTCTTAATATTTGCTTTTTACTTGACATTATTTAGAAGGAAAAAAACAGCACATTTCAAAAGCCATAAAAACTTTGAAATTTAATTTATACTTCAATATTTGATCCAGAATTACCTTTTTCATTGTTTCCTTTCCCACTGCAATCTCATGCCCATCTTGCCCTATGCCATTCTTAAAGAACAGAATTCGGACTGAGGTCTTCCCAGTAAGTTTCTTCATTCTATTGGAAAGAACAGGCTTGGTTTTCCGTCTTTTGACTTCAGTAGGAAACATCAGCCCATTCATTGTCCAAGTTACTTTCTTCATTAACAACAGATGGTCTAGAAGAGAATTTTTTTAAAGTCAAGTCAATATTTGGCTTCAAAATTAAAAATGGACACATCACGCTTCCCCTCCCCCTGTTACCTATAGCATATACACTGGCCAGTCTCCATTTAGATGCTGGTTTTCTGAAATGCTACCACCAGCTTCCCACTAACCGTGACATAAGCTGTAGCAAGCTGTCTGCTCTGATAGCCTGCATAAATCATCATTTCTGAAGGGAACAGATGTTCAGGGTATGAAAGAGTAATACCACAATTTAGTCCTAATTAAAATTCACCTTAGCATGCCTCTATCACTGATCAGATGCTCTGGGCTGAAAGGGTCCAGCGAAAGGGTCCAAGGTCCTTTGCTCACTATACAACGACATGGATCCTGACCTTTTGTGTTCTTTAGGGTTGGGAAACACATATTTCTCTTTCATATAATTTATTATCCATGTTGCTTTAAAGATGATGACCTCCAAATAGTAACCTTATACATTATCCTTCTCTTGCGACTAGAATGAAGGTGCCTTTTAACCCATTTTTGGTGAGAGATTCAAACTACTTCTCTAAAAATGAAAACCAGTTTTGCATTAACAGTTTACTTTGACTTATACCTTTTCAAAGATGTGTGCAGGAATTTAAGTTTCAAAACTCCCACTAATATTAATGGAAGTGCAACTAAATTACTATGTATGACTTTGAAAATGTAAGGGTAAGAAAAGAAGGGTGGTGTGTTGCATGCTAAATTGCTGTCAGCATTCCCTTCTTTTCAAGAGAGTTCATTTCCTAAATAAATAATTTGCACCTGAATTATTTATTTGTGCATTCCATTTACTTTAGATTATATTTTATTTTCACATAAATACAAAAAGGCAATTACTGCTCTCATCTGTTTTTTATGTGTCCTATGAGAGAAAAAAAGAAGTTATTTACATATAACTGAAAATAGCTGCATTTGTTTGCCCAAAATTTCCAAATAACACTTCACTATTAGCTCGTACCTTGAAAGCAGCATGGCCTCTTTGAGCTAGAGGTAGTACTTTACATAAAATCTACTGGCATTGATATGAAATACGAGCAAGTTATTGTAAATAATCTTCAAGTCTGCGAATGGCTACATTAAATTTCAAAAAAAACAAAACACTTGTCTTTCTATACCTCTTTCTTGATTTCCCTCTTTCGCTCACACACATGCTCACACACATGTACATGCATACGTGCATGACCAATAGGCAGAAACATGGGCAAAACTTGAAGAATAAATGAAACTAAATTAGAGATATGTTTAAGCCTTCAAGAAGAGAAAACATTTTTAAAGATATAAATTATTCTGTCTTGTCATTTTGTAATCTAAAATTTATAGGCATTAGAATCAGAAATATAAGCTAGAAGTTAATGAGTTTATACATGCCCAAAAGACTTAAAAACAGGTACTTAAAGAACATGTACACACATGTTCAAAACAGCATTATACACAATGGCTAAATGGTGGAAACCAAATATTAACCAATGAACAAATGAATAAACCCACTGAACTTTAAAATATGAATATTTGTGTACACACAATAAATATTTAGTAGTAAAAGAACTAATACATGGTACAATGTGGATTAACTTCAAAACATGCTGAATCAAAGAAGCCAAAAATAAAAGCTAATATTAACTATTTTTATATAAAATATCCAGAATAGAATACAGACAGATGGTTTCCAGGGGCTAGGAAAATGGGGGAATGGGTGAAATTTAACAGTTAAGAGGGTTTATGTTGAAATGATGGAAATGCTTTGGACCTAAGTAGAGGTGGCGGTTGTACAGCACTGTGAATGTACTAAATGCCACTGAATTGCGTGCTGTAAAATCATTAAATTTTTATGTGTATTTCATAACAATCTATAAAAGAGGAAGAGGAGAAGGAGGCAGGGGAAAACTAATAAAGTCTCTGAAAATAAACTTTAAAAACATCTCCCTTGGGAATAAAAGTTCATAAATTCTTGTAATTTGATAGGAGTGCACCCGTACTCTGAATGCCCCCAGATGCTTTGAATAGTGGAAAGATTATAAACTTTAAAACTATGTTAGAATCTCAGTTCTGTTACTTAGTGACCCTAGATGAGTTATGCCACCATACATCTCTGATTTCTCGTCTACAAAGTATCTAGTGAGTACCATTCTACCACCTAACAAGACACATATTTTATATGTTAATGTACCTTATACATTGAAATTACTCCATAAATGTTCGCTTCCTCTCCCATGTCCCTGAAACCCTACGTTTATTATGGAACGTTAGCGTATATTAACCACAACATTAGTCAGGGGCCAACCAAAAAAACAGTCTATTAAGAGCACTTGCGCAGAAGGGACTGACTACAGAGACCTGGTTATGTAAGTGATGGAAAAGACCGAGAAGCAACCGATGGACAGCGAGGCAACCTGTGATCAGCAACATCAGGAAGCCAAGGCCAGAGGGAGGAGGTGATACAGGTGCCCAGATTTAGAGAATATTGCCAATAAAGGACTTTCCCGTTTCATTACTTAAAATAGGGCCAGGATTAGAGTGAGGCAAGCAAAGGGTCCAAAATTCAGGTCAGTGCAAGTAGACAACCCTCAGAGGGAGCGCCTCCTTAAATTTTGTCCCGTAGGTGCTTCACTCTCTCACCTTAGCCTCAGCCTTGGCTTTGACTATCTCTTTCATATGTAAAACTCCTTAAATTCTGTTAAAAATAATGCCTACTATTAGCAAGATGCTGTTATAGGGTTTATAGGTCTTGACTTGTGTAGTCCTCTCAACAATTTTACGAAGTGGATAATATCATTGTTCTCATTTATAGGTGAGGAAATTGAGGCACAGATAACTTGCCCAAGACTTTGTAGCTGGTACGTGGTAGCACTGGCTTGTGAATTTAGTTTCTGGAAACTGTACCCCCAATCACTACACTATTCTGTCCCTACATTTTCTGCCATTATCACAAATTCAGAATACCTCAAAGAAAATTTCACATCTTTCCACACAAATTGATGCACATTTCACATGTCTTATTTCTATTACTGCTATCCACTATCTCAGGAGGTACCTTGAACCCTTACCTCCTATCCATTTCTCTTCAGCCAATTGCTTATTCATTCAATATTTGTTGGGTGTTCACTCATCAATGTACCTGGGTGACAGCTGTGAACAGGACTGAGTAGCCTGTGCAGACCACAGCCTCTTGGTGTGAGATAGACTGTGAACAGCCTCTCTAAAGAGCTGACATCTGAATAGAAAGCCCCCAATGATGAGAAGTTAGTCATGAGCCCTGGCTGATGGGGCTCAGTTGGTTGAGCGTCGTCTTGCAAGGCAAAAGGTTGCTGGTTCGATTCCCAGTCAGGGCACATGCCTGAGTTGCGGGCCAGGTCCCCATTTGGGTCACGTGTGAGAGGCAACTGATTGATGTTTCCCTCACACATTGATGTTTCTCTCTCTCTCTTTCTCCCCCCCTCCCCCTCTCTCTAAAAACAAATAAATAAAATCTTTTTTAAAAAGTTAGTCATGAAGCTCTGAAAGATCATTCCAGGCAGAATGAAAAATCAAACACAAAGTCTCTGAGGTGAGATTGAGCTTAGCATGTGTGAGAAAAAATTTAATAAAGTGAGAGTGTAGAAAGGGGCCAGATTGCAGATACCAGGATAAAGGTTTTGGATTTTAATCTGGAGACACTTCTCAGACACTTCTCAGCAGGTACCGTAGGAAGAACAGGCAGAGTGTAGACAACACTGGCAGTGCCTTCATTCCTCATAATCCTTTTACCTTGGGCTAATACACCCAAACTGCAGCTGCGGTGAGTTCCAGCCACTAGCACCTCACAGCTTCATCCTTCTCTTGAGAAATGTCCTCGGCTGAAAGGAGCCAGCCACCTAACCAGGAAATGCCTGTGAGGGGATGAGCTCTTCCTTCCCACCTAGAGATATAGTCCACAGCCAATGACTGACGGACTGGGGGACACACAGCCAGTCTCCTCACCTCAAGGAAGGGCAACTCTTAGGGGTGTGTTCCCCACCCTGTAGGACGTTTCCCACACCGGGCTGGAGCTAGATCTCAGCTCAGCACAGGGCTTGGCCAAGCTTCTTCTTCTACTGTATGCTGCTCCCCTCACTGTCTTCCAGGTTTCACCCAAGACTATTCCCTCACCAAGTCCCTTCGACAAAACTCCCCATCTCAGTCTCTGCCTGTAGGGAACCCAGACAGAGTTAAAGAAGGGAAACCCTACCCTCAGCTATGCGTTCTCCACTGTACTATTAAAAGTCTCGTCATTCCTTTCCATTTCCAGCTGGTCCCAGCGGCCTATTTCTCTCTTGGCTTCCTATCATCTGTGAGAACTTCCAAATTTTGTTTGATCCTCCTCCATTACATCTGACATTCTGCACTGCAATTACAGTTGAGTTGTCGTTGCCTGAAAAGAAAGATTGGAGCTAGCTTTTGAAGCTTTCCAGTAGTCAGCCTGTCCATCTGTGTCTGTCAGGTAGTCAACAAAGATTTATTTGAGCCCATCCTATGTGCCAGACCATGTGCACAGAATATGAAGAATATACAGTCCCTTTCCTTAAACTTATGTCTAACAGAAGGGCTTCCCAACAGTCTGACAGTATCCAAACTTTTCTTACCCTAGTTAAAAGCCAATCTGTTCATCATCCCAAGTTCATTTTTAATATCACCTATTCAGACTCAAGAACTTCTCAAAATCCAGTTTAAGATCTTCCCTTAATGTTCCAGCCCACATGACCTGTCTGAATCCTTAGAGCACTTACAGCCTGCACCACCCATCAATACGTTCACTTACTCAATAATGTTTGGAAATCTATCACAAGCTGGACCCTATGCTAGGTGCTAAGGAAAGAGCATAAACTATCTGGAATTTTTATGTAAATATTGTGTAAGTATATATCCTATTTCTGCTTCCATACTTAAACCTTTAGAAGGTAGGAATCAAGCCTGTATTTCTTATTACTTTGCTCCAGCATATAAACAGGTTCAC